TGGAGTCTGTGAACTGATCGTTCACGTTCTGAGAGAGGATGACTGCGCGTGGGGCGATGGCTGCAACGATCGTGTGGGCGTCATAAGGGAGCTGGGAGGATTTGCCGACGAACTGCGAGATACCTGAGGAAGTCCACCATCCTGCTCCAGATTTCTAGGTAGTCGTCAGTGCGCATATCTCAAAAGATCGTGGAGTCTTCGATGAGACCTAGTGCTTACAGCGTTTTCTAGGTTCTCTCCTTGCCCACTCAAGCTGTATCGGTAGGGCCCCGCACCCTGAACGCCAGAGCACATGGGCATAGTGACGGCGATGCGCTTGTCGAATAGCCCAGCAGCAAGAGCAGCTTTGCCCAGACGAGAGCAACCAGTGACGCCAGATTTGGTTGCATCGATCTCTGGAACCTTGAGTTCAATGCCGTCAAGAACGCGATGAAAGCCCCATGCCCATGCAGTGAGTACTCCTGTTGGCTGTAAGTATGCATGAATCAAATGGTAAGGTTTACTTACCAATGTCTTTACCACTATACAGCGTCCAAAACGATCCAGTCTTACTGTTGCTGTCTGCTGCAACTTTGGTATAATCGAATGTGACTACCGCGATCCCTGCATTCACATAACTCTTGATGTCCATGCCGCCGATCGAGATGACCACTGGGAACGGTCCGCCTCCACTCGGCAAGTTCAAAGAAGCTGCGATGCTAGCGGTCTTCCCTCCTGCGGTAACAGTGACAGTCAAAGTGTTGCCACTTCGCGTTGCCGAGACAGTCTCTTGCGAGTGATCAGGGTAATACCCGTATTGGTATTCCTGGAGGAGCTTGAGGATCTCGGGTTGGCGACATTGGGTCCATTCATCCTTGCTTTGAACACGTGTCTTGCCATCGAGATACAGGAAGGGATCGGGCATCGTCTTTATGGAGGGGAATGCCGCCGCTTTGGGCATAGGGCTCGATATTGCTGGACAGGTAACATTAGTCTGGCGAGTAATGATGTCCGCAAAATGCTCGCTGTTGGCTCCCAGCGGCGTGCTGCCGCTCATGGCCACCAGGGCCAAAGTAGTGATAAGGCTGGTGCGCATATTCCTAGACGCTTTCAATTTCCAAAATTAGACGGAACTGGAACTACGGGGGTAAGGTGATTGAATTGCGAGAAGAAATTGAAGTAGCATATATGCTTCCGGACTAAGGGATACACGCCCCAGAATGATGGAGGTCATCCTGAGCACATATTACGATGATCCTTGGCGATGGTGAGTACTCGTGGAGTTAATGAAGCCAAACTGTCCTAAATAGACACGGCTTGATGCTGTCAAGCTACTTGTGGGGCTCTCATATAGCCAAATCGACGGATAAAGGGTCGACCCAGACGTCGCATCAACGGGGCGAAGTAAGGCAATCAAAAATAACCCGAGATTTTGCTCTTACGGAAGTATTCATCCCGAGATGATGGAGATGAGCGTGCTAGTAGAGGTAATTGCACGTGTCGTATTGCTGTGCCCAGGTGCCACCTGGGCAGCCTTACTCTCGCACGTGACTGCACGACAACGCGTCGAAACGCCACTCTTCGAGAAGCTGGCACAGCCCAACCTTGAGACTAGAATTGTCGGTCAGGAGGATTCCACGTGTTCAAGCCCTTTGATGAACATCAATGTTGGTCTGGAGTAAGGGAGTTGAGGTTGCATCGGCGATCATGATAAGCCGCGAGGTCCAAGCTCCCCTCAGTGCGGGGAGCGACATGTCGCACATCTAGGCAACCTCATGTCAAACTCTATCATGTAGTTCTCCCAGCTCAACGCCGAAATGGTGCCGCTGTCTTCTTTCCTGCTAGTTGCTTTGGCCAGTGCCAAATGCTTCGAACCTACCATCGCGCATCCGCCGCCTCGGTACAATGTTGGCGATCCTCTGCTCCAAGACGCGTTCAAGTCTATCAACATGGCACTCACGGCAGCCGTCGCAGCGCCGGAGTTCGACCGAACCTCCTTCTCTGTAGAGATAACCTCGTCGAAAGACACGCTATGGTCGCGTCATCATACGGCGCGCGAACGTAATGCCTCGCGCCCAGATATCCCCGAAGTCAACGGAGACGCGCTGTACCGCATCGCTAGCATCACCAAGACCTTCACCGTACTCGGTATACTGTATCAGCATGCAGCAGGCAAATTGAGCTTGGATGCTACAGTGAATACATACCTCAAAGAGTTAGGAGACAAGTCGAACGGCGGCATTCCATGGAAAGACATTACATTGCGCAGTCTGGCTAGCCAGCTGAGCGGCCTTCCCCGCGAATGTAAGATGCCTTCTGGAAAGAAGCAGAATCTGTTCGGAGTGTGCCACACTGAAAAAGGTACGCATGCTAATTTCTTTAACAGGGGCTCAAGGTGATCTGATCAATAACAATTACCCTGAGTTGGATCCAAGCTCACTGGGTCTGCCTCCTGATGTGTCACGGGAAGGGTTGCCAAACTGTGACGAGTACTCACCAAATTATGAGACACCCTGCACAGCGAAAGGTTCGCATGTCACTAATTGAGCGTGAGAGAAGAGTGCTAATCTGATTGTGCTTAGATATGTTTCGACAGCTCAAGCAGTTCGCACCTTTATTCGCGCCAAACCAAGAATCGTCTTATTCCAACGTCGCTTTCGAACTCCTTGGCCTCGTCCTCTCGCGGATGACAAACCAGACCTACGAGACCTACATCGATGAAGCCATCTTCAAGCCCTTGAACATGTCTACCAGCACTCTCTCCAAGCCTGCCGATTCTGCTGGCGTCATTCCGGCTGGTCCACAATTCTGGGGTGTGGACGAAGGCATCCAAAATCCTACCGGCGGCATCTACAGCTCGTCGAGCGACCTGTCGAAGTACCTCCGCTATATCCTCACCCACTACAATGCCATTACCCACGCCGTAAACTGGCTGCATCCCGTCTCTTCGTCCCGCGGATTGAATTCATTTTATGGCATGCCGTGGGAGATTTACCAAACAGACCGCATACTCGAGCAGTCGAAACGTACTGTACGCTTTGTCACTAAGAGTGGAGGGTTGCCAGGCTATACCTCCATCATCATAACAGTGCCGGAGTACGACTTGGGTATCACCATTCTAGTCGCGGGCCCCAACGCAATCTTATCCAAGATCATGGACATTGTTACAGTAAAGATAGTGCAAGCAGCCGAAAAGCTTGCCATACAGCAATTGCATAACCGCTATGCGGGCACCTACAGCGCTTCAGATCCAGAAGTGAACTCTACAGCCACACTGAAAGCTGATTACCGCGGTCTTGTTGTTACAACCTTCGTTTCCAACGGGACGGTTGTCTTCGAAGCACCGATCACGAAAGACGTGACGACTCCGCCCCGTTATGCGCAGCTTAGCCCAACGCTTCTCTATCGCAACGAGGAAGAACAGCAGGGGGAGGAGTGGCGTGCATTGATCTTCGAGGAGCGCGCAGAAGGGCTGGGCTCTATTTGGGACGACTTCTGCGTGGAGGACTGGGAAATGTCCAGTTACGCCGGCATACCTTTGAACACAGCGGTGTTCTGGGACGAGCAAAAAGACGGTCATTTCGAAACACTAGAGCTACCGGCTTTCCGCGTGAATCTCACAAGAGTGGATCAGAAGAGGGGGTCGAATAGGAAGTATGGTCAACAAGAAACGATGGAGCTCTAAGGCTCCACATTGCAGACCGGCAGGGCGGCTTGCGGTCATCCTCTCCACCACGTGAATCATGGCCGAACGACGAATCTATAAGTCGCTGCAGCTAGTACAGATCACTTGAGCATATACCACATTGCCCTACAATCGCTGCAGAACGAAGGATTCGCCAAAACTCGCCAATCTTTCTGTCCACGGCGCTTGCATCTGCCGTGTCCAAAGAATATTCGGTTTTATCACAGCGACCATGGGTGACTGACTAGCCTAGTGTTTCCGAGCTTTATTAAAGACCGTGCTAGACTAGATCTACATGCCGAGCTAAACTCTAAAACTCACATGCAGGGCCGAACCACGTTTTCGCAAAGACGATTGCCATTACTTGGGAGCAGTGGAATACCGTTCTTCACCGGGTTCATGTACCTCCGATGATCGACACTGCTGGTGGTGGAACTGTTCGAGGGCTTTTCCACTAGCGAAGCCTTATAATTGTATACACTAGGCAAGCCTTGTGGCAATTGGCAGAACGCCAGAATGATTGCCACGTCAAACGCCGATCAGGTTCGCATCATGTTCACCTCCTTGTGATGCCTAACAGGCCGACATTCAGGACTGTGAGAACATGGGTGCTCATACAGCTACCGGCCCCGATAATTTCGCTTGAGCGCGTCGTACATATCTTGGCACAATCTTCCACACTCACAAACGGCATACCTCATACACAAAGTATGCGAGCGAGTTTCCGACACATTCGACGTATGAAGCCAGCAAAGGTAAAGGCAGAACATCGGAGGGTTTGTCGCTCGTTGGGCTCAAGATCCACGTGGAATTCGCCGTAGCAGCGGCACAGCAACGAACTAAAGTCAGGGCACCGTCTAGCTCATAGACTGCCGATTGCGGCCGAGCACGTTTTGTGTGGCGCGCCTTCTGGAAGACACTCCGTGACGAGGATGGCAGCTGCACTACGTGGTGCTTGTAACATACTAACAGTGCTTTGATGTTCGGGAGGCTAGGATTCTGACGTCCATTGCCGCCTCTGGGAAACCTGTACGTGCCGTGTATAAGCCCCTGTTTCTATCCTGGTTCATATGGCTTTTTGTTTTACCCTGTTTGATCCGCAATCCGTCGCTTAACATAATTCTCCTTCCTCTTTTGTTTTCTCGCGCAGGGCTTCTCGTACGGCGTTGTCTCGATACGTACTGTCGGAAACAATCTGGGGTACAGCCTCCTTCTATGCGGGTTCCGACATGAAGTTCTTCTCCGCACTACTGTGCCTCGTCTTTGCGCCTTTGTCTTTTGCGCAAAGTCAGAGCGGAAACGATGTGCTTGCGTCTGCGGTCAAGAATCTGCCTCCATGCGCGGTATGTAAGCCATGTCGATTCACAAGACTCCATACTGATTACGGTCATACAGTTAGATTGCACCCTCACAATAATCTCATCATCAACATGCCAGCTCACAGACATCGACTGCATCAAAGGCAACGAGAAGCTTCTCGATGACTTGAGCAAATGTGTCTTGGCTAGCTGTAAGCCAAAAGAAGCACTGAGTAGGTCCTCTCTCATATCCACTCGTTGAACTTTCTGCTAATTTCCTGCGCAGCGGCGAAAAGGTTTCTTACTGAGTTGATGGATGCGCCCATTCGCAACAAGACGAAACAAGGCACAGTCACTACAATAGTCTTTGGAGTACTATCCTTGGGAGCCTACATTCTACGCGTAATTGCACGCCTTCCCTGGTTCGGCGGAAATTGGGGCATCGACGATTGGGTTATGACTGCGGCCATCATACTCATCATCCCGCTCACGATATGCGCGTACCTTCTGAACCTTTTGGGGTTGGGTACGGATATGTGGATGGTGTCTTTCGAAAACATCACCAAGATTCTTGAGGTATGTAATGAGTTCTGCACATTCCAAGATCCTGCGCTAATGAATCTACGATGATAGATCTTCTACTATACGGAGCTTCTCTACCTTGCGTCGATCGCATTGACTAAGATAGCAGTCTTGCTCTTCTACCTCCGCATCTTCCCTCACCAGGGCCTCCGACGCGTCATCCACGTTACTATCGTGATCTGCATCATGTACATCATCGCGTTCGTCACAGCGACCGCACTGCAGTGTATTCCGATACGCATTGCGTGGGAACACTGGGACGGCGAGCATCACGGAAAATGCATCAACCTTAACGCCGATGCCTGGGCTTCTGCCGCCGTCAACATCCTTCTCGATCTAGTTGTCATTGTTATACCCATGAGAGAGCTCAGCAAGCTCGCCATGACCCGTCGACGCAAGTTTGGCATCATGTGCATGTTCCTCGGTGGAGGCTTGTAAGTCTAGTTCCCACATCTCACCTTGCCTCAACTAACACATCCTCAGCGTCACCATCGTCAGCATCCTCCGCCTCAAATACATGATCCAGTTCGCGCAAACCACCAACGTAACCTGGGACTATCTACCCATCGGATACTGGTCCGCCATCGAAGCCCACGTCGGCGCCATCGTCGCCTGCGCACCCGCAATTCGCCAACTACAACGTTCCATCCGCGAACGCATCTGGCCCAAACAGAAGACACCAAGTCAATACTACTACGCAGAGAACTCAGGCAACAGCAGCAAGAAGAACAACGGCAGCAAAGACCTCAAGTCCCGCATCTGGCTACCAAAGACCGATCGCTCCCAACTGAGCACTCTGGGCCGGAGTAAGATGGACAAAGACGACTTCGTCCGCCTAGACGAGTACGAGATGGGCGTTGGCATGGGCGGAAAAGACGGAGTCCTCACAGATAGGAATTCGCCGGAGAACTCATCGGATGGATCACTGGATCGGTCGTTCAAATCGAATGAGGATGTGCAGCCGTTGGCCGATGTTGCGGCGCCGGCGCCGGTGGTGGGCTCCCCAATGGGAGGCATCATGGTGCAGTCAGAATACAGTGTTGATCGGGGGAGCTCGCATCCGAGTTTGCAGGCTTTACCACCGATTCAGCATAAGAAGGAGAAGTCGTTGGATGCGAGGAGGTGGCTTTGAAGCGCGACGCTCTACGATCTATGAACTTTGGCAGATACCCAATAATACATCTTAATGCATCGAGGTACGACTTGTAACCCCAAAGTGCTATCGCCCTCGTACAATGTTCTCGCGCTTTGCGCACCCCTCAAAAGGCGCTCTACCAACACAGAGGCATCTTCAATCGGTCACCACGCCACAGCTCACCAACCCACCAACCCGCCGCACCCCCAAACAGCCATCCCCACCTATCGAAAACCTACAAATACCATAAGTAATCAGAAAATCCAAGCCAGCCAACCTCACAACGACAGCCAACGACTCAAGCACCAGCGCAGCGGCCTGACGCGTGCCGGCACGCCTCGCCCACTTGCCGCACCAAGAAGACCAGCCAGGAAAACAAGCCAGCTACGGCGGTTCTTGAATCGCGACATTGCGCCAGCGTAGGAAGTTAGGGTGGGGTGGGTCGTGAGACCCGCACCGGCTCGGTAGATCAGGCCCCACTGTGTGAGGCTAAGAGGAGGTGCAGGGAGGGGGTTGGTGGCTCGGTGGAGGTTCGGGGTTGTGGTGGAGTCTTAAGGACGTATGCGCGCGTGTATTTTGCGTAGACATTGACAGTTGAGAGTGGAGAATTGGAGCGACTTCCTGTGTATTTGGAATGTGCTGTGTTCTACTCGAATCAGCGAGGTTTGTCTTTTGAAGCCCGTGCGGCTATTCCGTCTCGTCCTTTCGGGCTTCGCGCTCGAACTCCAAGTCTTCTCGCGAGGAACTTTGAGCGTGTACATTGTCGAGTTGGTAAGTCAACAACGGTGGTTCGCCAGGGATGTTCGTCGGGATGGTCGTCTCGATCTTCTCGTTCTTGTCGTCACTCTCTACAAGATTTTCATCGTCTTCTTCCTTCCTCTTAGTATCCTTCTTTGCCTCTTTTTCATCCCAGATATAAAACGTGGACAGTACCGCCGCGCTGATTGGTATAGCTACCACAAAGAAAAGCCAGACGCTGTGGCTGGCCTCATCGAATGGGACTTTTCCGGCAATACCGTTGAAGAAGTTCATGCCGAAGAATGAGGACACAAAGGTCGCGGGAAGGAATGCGATGGTAACCCAGGCTATGCCGCGCATAGTTCGACTGTCGCGTTTTGTCTCTTCGGCAATCCTGATGCTTTCTTCGAGAAACTTCTCTTCCCTTTCCGCTCGAGAATCTTCTCGGTGTTGAAGCTGCTCCTGTCTCTTCTGCTGCCTTTCCGCGATGGCATCATTGATTTGCTGGCGTACCTCCGCAATGTTTTCCCGTAAACGATCTGGATGGTTCTTCTGCATCCATCGAGTGAACCCCGGCAGGTCCCGCCGCATGTGTTTGGGTTCAATTGACCTCAGAATATCGGCTGCCCATTCTGCGGCATCGGTACTGAACGCAAACTTTGTTTTTAGGTTGGAGTCCTTAATCTTATGGCTGATAGCATTGAGCTCCCGCAGTAAGGTGCTTAAAGTCCGATCGGATGCTAGGGATTCTTCCACACTTTGGATCGCTGCCATGAATCCCTCTGCCTCTCTTGCAACAACGTCCATGTACAGCATTATAAATCCCTCAAGCATAGAAGCGAAGGCGTCGAAGGGTGCTGCTTCGTTTGTATTTGGATTGTGGTCCTCTGTATATCTGTACTCTTCCATGCGCCGTTTGCATCTTGCAATCTCCTTCTCCGGCCACTTGCCCGCCTTGTCATAGGCTACTACCGCCAGCCATCGTCTTTCAATGCCCTCAGACTCAATCTCATCGAGCGAGAGTTTCAAAAATGGCACAGAGCCGCTGGGTGTCCGGAATATTATTGCATGCTTGTCAGACGAACAGAACAATCTCCCATCTGTCGAGCATTGCGTTCCACCAGTAGACAAGGATTGGGACTGGTCTGATCTAAGGAACCTCAAGGCTACTCTTAGCGCAAATACCAGATCGTACTCGGGACTGTCGAATGGGAACTCAAGGAAGTTGATACTGGTGAAAGCTTGTGGCGCACGTTGGAGAAAAGACATGATATCGGGGACATCCTTGAAAGTAGCACTCCAAATCTCCTGTTTGTGGAGACCTTTCAATTCAGCGTCGTAGACCAACACACCCCCGCGCGCGAGTTCGACGAGTTCGGCAAGTTTGGATAAGAATTCGGGCCCGAAGCTGTCTTGTGGGTACAAAGAACTGATCTCGTCGGTGAATTTGTCAAAGTCCGGGTCCGACAATGGTTCCGCCATAGTCGGCATGTGACGATGAGCAGATTTGTGAGGAAAAAGATGAAGAACCACGACGCAAGGCTGGGTAGCTTGAAAGCATATAAGGCTTCAGCTCAGCTGCCAAGCGCACCACACCCACGCGTCCCTCCAAGGTCTGCATGGCGACAACCATGTCCCGCGGAGTAACAAGATCATACAGTGCTCTTGAAAACCTCCCCCAGGCACCAAACAGTTGGCTGTGGGCTGTTTTGAGCACTTGATGCATTTAGGCAGCCACTAAAAAACGGCCAGTCTTGTCGCCTACCAACCTGAGCGATCACCGTGTGGTTCCGCATCGTAACTAGGTATAGTCGCATGAGCCTCAAGGCAGATAAGAACCTCAGCCTTGTCCGCTGGGCCGTACAATTGGACAGTCGCGAAAACATGAAAAGATAGGCTGATTGCCTCGAATGAGGCAGCTTTTGAAAAAACATAGCCGGACCGTGGGATCATCAAACAGGCCTGCCAATGTGAGTGAGTTGACTGACAGGGTTCGAAAGAGTTCATTGTACCTCTACAACTTCGCCTCAGCCTTGCGACACCCCGCTGCAGCAAGCAGAAAGCGTCCAAAGTACCTCTCCAGCTTCTGGCCCGCACTCCCATCCAGCTCAACGACCGTGCCAACCCACCCATCAGGTCTCAATACCACCACGGCACCCTTATCAGTCGCAACACCATAGCGCATGTGCGCACTATAATCCGCATCGTAGAACACACGACCGAACGGCATACCGCCCAGCGTCTCATACGCTGACGGTCCACCGGGTCCTGCGATGATGGAAAGACACGATATCGGAACATCCCCATCATCAAGCCAAGGCACTGCAGACATTGCAGCAGTGAACGACGCTAAAGCGAGCTTTGTGCGCGCCACCTCTCCAGCAAATAGCGCAATATAAAACGTCCCCTTATTCGGCGTCTCGCTCTGTAGTCGCGCAGCTTCAAAAGTCGCAGGTTTCTGTAGCGTAACATCCGGTGCGCGCTGACCGGGCTGTACGGACGATACACCCGAACTCTGCGTGAGGTTGAGGTAGGAATCTGGCTCGTAATATATACCCAGCCCACTACTGAACGTCGCTGCTTCAGCCATGACTACGCCTAGTACCTCGTTTGGATCGGCGTTCGGGTCGCCAGTCCAGTCCTCGGGTAACTGCATCGTCATGAGGCGCGAGATGTCTTTGTCGTAGTTGATCAGTCGCTGGACGTTGGGGAGTCGCTCCGCTTCGTACGAGTGTAGCAGATCGGGTTTGGCGAGACCTTGGAGCACGAGGGAAAGCTTCCAACCGAGATTGACAGCATCATGCATGCCGGTATTCATGCCTTGTGCTGCACCCGAACTATGGGTGTGGCATGCGTCACCGGCGAGGAAGATGCAGTCGTTGACGAAGAATGAGCGCGCGATGCGCTGCCCGACAACGTAGATGGTCCACCAATCCACCTGCTTGAACTTGAGGTTGAACGGCTTGACTGACGCGATAGCTTCTTTGACGGCGGCTTCTTCGTCAAACACCTTGTATGCTTTCTGACGCTCTGCCGTGAATGCAAAGCCAATGCGCGTGGCGCCTCGATCTAACGCGGCCCAGAGAACGTTTCCGTGTGTCGGCGATTCGATGGCGCAGTACGTTCGCGGTTTGGGGAGGTCGGTTTCGATAACGCCATCGACGCGTACCCACTTGTCTTCGCTGGAGGAGCCATCGAAGGGAATCTTCATCGCTCGTCGTACGAAAGACCGCCCACCGTCTGCGCCGACCAGATATCGACATCTGACTACGCTCTTCACCTTCGTCTCGCCATGTTTAATTGTAGCCAGTATGCGATATCCACCCATCTCAACCCCGTCTACAATCTCTATACCTGCCAGGGTATACGGCGCATCGAGTTGTACCCCCTCCTTAGCCAAAGCTTTCCTAAACACCTCTTCCTGGTACTTCTGACGTAGCACCAACGCGAAGTCCCATTTGGTATCCTTCATGTTCTCCATGAACGCCCAACCTCTTCCCTCGACCTCGTTGCCATGCTTATCGTAGTTGACAGTCTCACGACATGCGAAACATTGTTGGGCGAGGGCGTCGGCCAAGCCCAGCTGGTCTAACAGCTCCGACGATCTTGGAAAGAGGGTGATGGCGCGTCCATAGTTGTCTTGAGAGGACTTGGGATGTTGTTCTATGATCTTGATGCGGTGTGTAGAACGAGGGAGGTTGCGCGCGAGTTGGTATGCGGTTATGAGGCCTAGGAATGCGTGTCAGTATGATGGCCTAACAGATAGATGTTGGGACTCTGTACCTACTGGCCCTCCGCCTACCACGAGTACATCTACATGCTCTGCCGAAACATCTGAAGCCGCCATCCTGGCTACAAGACGGATATATACAGCTTGGGCATATGGTAAGGTCACTCAAGCTTAGGAACACCCATGTTGGCAGGCTATAAGCCTCATGGGGCTGACAACTGCATCGGGAACGGCAAGCAGGAGCCGCGTTTTTGATAAGAACACCGCGTGCCGCTAGTCATGCATGCTTGATGTAACATGATGGAGATACGCGCGATGTAGGGGCTGTCGCAAAGGAAGGTGGAAGCAAGAATGGGGTGGAACGCGAGGTGCACAGGGGGGCTGATAAGATAAGGATCAAGCCGCGGCAAACATCAAGCTGCAAGCCCAGCCGTTCGCTCATAGCTAAAATATCGCATAGATTCTGGAGACACAAACAAAAATCTACGCGTTGCACGCGACATTTTCTGTCACAATTGAATCAAGAACGTTGGACGCGTCGATAACAAATCTGCGAGCCCAATACTACGGCGCACGCGCATCACCACAAACCACACCTACAGCGGCAACACCCACTCCCCCTCTCTCATCGGCTTCGCAAGACTACTCGTATCCCTCTTCGTAAACTTGCCATACCCCTTCTCCCCCAACAACCCGCCATTATCCCTATCCCAAACCACTTTCCCCCTCAACAGCGTCCACCGCGGCCACTGCTTCAGCTTCCTCCCCTCAAAAGGCGTGTAGTCAACATCATGATGCAACATACTGTTCGTCAGTTCAAACTCCTCCATCTTGCCATCCGGGTACCAAATATTGATATCAGCATCCGACTCGCCCTCTATCAATGCGCCTTTCTTCGGGTACAGACCGTATAGCTTTGCGGGATTCGCAGATGTGACTTCGACGAATTTAGTAAGCTTGAGCCGGTTCGCGCTGAGTGTGAGGGAAAGGCGTGTTTCGATACCAGGGCAGCCGTTGGGGATGTATTTGAAGTGCCCTAGAGGGTATTCTGCGCTGATGCTGGACTTCTTACCCATCTCAGGGTCGTCATAGCGGAAGGGACAGTGGTCGGAAGAAAGGATGGTAAAAGTGCCGTTTGCGAGACCCTCCCAGATGACGTCGCAGTCTGCTTCGCTTTCGCGGGGTGGGGGCGAGCACACGCATTTTGCGCCTTCGAAACCAGGTTGGTCGAGATCTAGCTTCGTGAGGAAGAGATATTGCGGGCAGGTTTCGGCGTAGATGGGTAGGCCGCGGTCCTGCGCTGCTTTGATGTGTGCGGCTGCTGCGGGCGTGGATACGTGAACGATGAGGATGGGAGTGTCCATGAACTCTGATAAGCTAATGGCGCGGTAAGTGGCTTCTGTCTCTGCCATGGGCGGATGGGACGAGCCGTGGTATTTCGGCGCGAACAGCTTCTTCTTTTCGAGTTGCGCGGTCATCCAATCGATTACTTGTCCGTTCTCGGCGTGGATCATGGTCGTTATGCCTTGCTTCCTGGCCTCGAGGAGGATGTCTAGGATCTGACCATCGTGCAGTTGAAGGGCCTCGTAGGTCATGTAGATCTTGAGTGAAGATATGCCTTCCTCCCGCAGGATCTTGAACTCTGAAAGCGCCCTTTCTGAAGGGTTGCCGACGATGATATGGAATGAGTAGTCGATGTAGCAGTTGTCCTTTGCTCTTTCGTGAGTAGCCGCCAGAGTGTCGAGAAGAGTATCCTCAGTCTTCTTTTGTGGCGCAAAGGTCACCATGGTAGTGGTACCACCACATACTGCCGATCGACTGCCAGTCTCGTAGTTGTCTGCCGTTGAGCCATTTCCAAACAATGGAGGTTCCTGGAGATGAACATGAGCGTCCACGCCTCCCGGCATCACATAGCCGCCTTCAGCATCTATTGTTCTCGTGGCTTGTGCATCTTTCAGACCTCCTCTTGAGACTACCTTTGCGATCTTCTCGTCCTTGATAGCGATGTCCCACTCTTGAACTTCATTTTCGGACACGACCACTCCATTGATGATGATTAGATCGTACTCCATTGCAGCTTTTTTCAACCTTTTTCCGAGCAGAACAATAACACGGAATATACTTCCCAGTAATACACGATCACGGGAAGATACATCTCAGCGGTTATCGTGGTGGTGAAAAGACGGCTAGTCCAGGTTTGTGAGGTGCGTATCTCGACCCCTCTTTCGCGCTACCCCACCTTCCTGCCGTCTTCGTTCTTATCAACCACAACGCTTATTCGCGTATAAACGCGCTCGAGAATGATGCCGATATCCTGCACAGTCATTTGCGTTGGTCATAGATGATGAAGACGCGTTTTTTGCACGCCGACGCGTCGGATGTAGCTGATGCGACCTGGACGATGCTATCCACCATGTGCAACCCTTCCGAGGTCTACATTCGTCTCTGACCTAACAAGACTTACTGTCACTTTCAAATGTCTTCCAAACCTCTCAAGATTAACGGCGAGAGGCTAAACAGCACACTACAAGAAACATGCACCTCCTACGGCGCTCTCCCAGCGCCATCAACAGGCATGTGCCGCCTAACCTTAACCCCCTCCGACAAAGCGGCTCGAGACTGGCTAGTCAGCGAATGCAAGAGTCTGGGATGCGACATCAAAATTGATCAAATGGGAAACATCTTCGCCATACGCCCAGGTACCGCTACAGACAAAGCGCCAATTGGCATGGGTAGTCACATGGACACGCAACCAGCAGGC